CGCTTCTGAAAATGCAGGGGGTTCATGCTTGAACCCTCTCAAAATCTTCTGTCAAAAAAGACTCTGAGCAACTATACATCTATGGCAGAGTAGGAGTGAAGAGGAGGTTGGGCCAAAATTTCACATTAAGACCCATTTCTTTTTGTTAAGTTTAATTAATTTATTTCTTCTACGAGTGAGTGTGAGAGAGAGGTAGAAAGGTAGAGGGAGAAAGAGAGATAGAGATAGAGCACCCCCAATAGGGCCTTTATGCCATGATTAGCCCCAGCCTCAGTCAGTCCTGGATCATAGGCATATGCATGTCCAGCATACTCAGAGAGGTCTCTAGATATGAACCTGGAACCTTCCCATGTGAGTCAGTCTTGCAGAGCATCATCAAGATTTACCACAGGGGAACCATCAGTTGGCGTAATGGCTATGTCACTGGACTCCCACGTAGTTGACCACGGTTCGCGTCCTGGACCCGGTGGCTTAAAATTCACGCCGGGCGCGTGTGCGTGCGTGCCCAAGATCCCGAGAGGAGAATGGAGGAGAAGGGATTGCGGCGTGACCATCCCCCTGGGGGGTGATTTCTCGCTTTCTGTCTCTATGTCTCTCTCTGTCTGTCTGGCGAGCGCACGTGCCCTATAGTGAAAAACCTCTCCAGAAAAAAAAAAAGAAAAAAAGAAAAAGATTTACCACAGCACCATTGTTGGATAAGGCCTATTTGTAATTATAGAATAAAAGTATGTTTCTTGTTAAAGGAATTTCAGGTATTGTCCAACATGTGGGAGAGGTGTTTGGGCCAGGAAGCCTTCTCTTGGTATCCTTGGAATCAAAAGTGTTTCCATATAATGCCCTGACCAGACTTGACTTCTGAAAGAAATCAAAGAAACAAAACAATCGTCTCTAGTAAAAGCCTGGAACCTCTTATTCTAGGTGATCATTGTATGGATTGCTGGTGTGGTTTCATAGGCAAAAGGGGACCTGGGAACTGTAAACTGATGAGTATCTGGTTCTTTAGTGGGCAAGCTGGAAAATATTTAATAAATGCTAGCATCCTGTACACAAAAGCCATCATGTATTGGGGTGAGGGTAGCACCATGATTTCTATAAAGGGAAATTGTGTAATCTTTTATGGATCTTTTCCTTGGGGCTAAACTTACTTTTAAAATGTTCCTAATTAAGTTTGACACCAAGGCTATGTTAAAATATGAACTACCATGGGCTTTAAAATGTTTTAAACATGTAGTAGGAACTGGTTTATGGGAAAACAAAAAGAAAATATAGGTGAGAAACAGGTAGTTTTCTGACTGAAGGATAAATAGTAGATGTCCTTGTGGTGGGCACTGGGTAGTCCTCAAGTCTGCACATAATACTTGACTTTTCTAGGCAGTAAAATGCCAAGTTGATGTGATATAAAAGAAGGTCTCAGGATGTCTCATGATTGGCAGATGAGCTTCAATAGGGGCACATGTAAGGTGATCCATTGAGGGAGGGCCAGATATTACCGACTATACTTCTAGAATAATGAATGCTGACCTTTCAATTAAGACCCAGGAAAGTGTTCTAGGAAACCCTATGGACAGTGTACTGAAGAGAACAACCTAATTTTGTGCTATGGCAAAAAAGGGCAACATAATGTTGGGCGTGTCAAGAAGGGGATTAAAAGAAAAAACAAAATGATTCTCCTTTTACATAGAACCACAGGACATCTTCATTGGTAAAGTTATATAAACAGCACTGATCTGCACATCTCAAGGACAGAACAAAGCCTAAAGGAGACAAATAAGGGGAATTAAAGCACCAATGGCAGACTCTAAAAAAAGAGAGAGACCTTTTCAGTCTGAGAATACATGCAAAGCCAGGGGACATGATCAAAATCATGAAGAGGCTAGCGCTACTGCATGATTGAATGATGACTTGGCTGGACAATTTTTTGAGCTAAGTGGGACCTTTGAAGTATAAAGTTTTTGTTTTTAAGAATTCTACTGTGTTTACGCAACTGTCAGTGGTGATGGCCAACACAGGCAACAACCTTTGGGAAGTCCTTGTATTCCATCAGAGACTAGAAAAATATGAGCTGAGTAGAGGCTGGATCAAGAGTACATCAATCCCTATTACTTCAGTAATGTCTGATTGACTTGTAGTCAGACTCACTTGTTCTGCTATCATTGTCAGCTAAGAATTTGTGCCTGACCTTTCTCAATCATCATGAATATGAGTTTAGGCATCCTACCAATTTTTTTCAACTCCAGTGGACTCCACATTGGCACCAATTGTCTGTCTATAAGAGTCTGTAATTTAATCCTTAGGTATAGTATTAAAATAAGAGATTTCTGAATCCAACTTTAACATGATGGATAGAACTCAAGAACGCGTGATAAGTAATACTATTCAACTCTAATATTCACATCAGTGTAGTGAAACACTGGTCTTCGTAATAGAAAGCTAAAATGAACCCTGTTAGGCTAATGATATCACACACATGCAGATTTCTTTAGCTAAGAAAGTAGCAGACAAGGTATGCCCCAGGACAGCTTAATAACATTGTTCTTGGAATAGACTTAATCATACTGTGTGGCAGGTAAAATAAAACCTGGGGTATGGCTCTGTTCTAAACACATGATTCTCCTAAATGGGAATGGCTACCTGATTCAATGAACACAATGAGCAGTATATAAAAGCTATGTATACAGTGTTTCTTTTTTTTTCTTTCCCTGCCCTATATTGTCCCTTGAAAAGAATTGCGTGAGATTGGGGAGCATTTTACCCTACAGAAATGCAACCCCCTTATTACTGGTTCAATCTTACTACCATACCTTTCACAGATGTGGTAATACTTCTCATCCTGTATGCCATCCTGAATGGGCACATTTACACTGTAGTACCGTCCCTTCCCAAGGCCAACATCAGACACATCACCTGTTCCTGGGGAAAAAGAGGAGTACCATGATCAGTTATTGAGAACATGAAAAACTGGAAAACTTAGAGGATTCTCTGGTAGGTGCTCAGAAGACCGAAAACGTCAATTAGAAGGATGATGCTGGGGCCATCAGATGGCATAGCAGTTAAGGCACTGGACTCCCACATGACTGACAATGGTTTGAGTCCCAGCAGCTTGAAACTCATGCGAGGTGTATGTGCATATGTGCCCAAAATACTGAGAGGAGACTAGAGGGGAAGGGACTGTGATGTGGCCATCCCCTCCTGGAGGGTTATTTCTCACTTTCTCTGTCTCTCAGGAGAGCACACATGCCCTATAGCAAAAATCTCTCAAGAAAATATAAAGAAGGATAGTGCTGACTAGTGGTGGTTTCTAAGGGAATAACTCCTTTGATTGACTTTTCAGGCTTCTTAGGTTGACATAATGTCATTGTAATGATCAGGATGTTAGAAGTTACATGGGATAGCTGACGGTATAGCAAGCATAAGTCATCTGTCTCTTGACAATCCATAAAATCACCTGAAGAAAGAAACAGCATTATTGTCATTCCTCTTGTCATTGTCACCTAAAATGACAATTTTGCATAGAATAGCACCAATAAAGTATTAACAGCATGGAACTACGCAAATATAAGATAAAAGAGATGCATTGAAAAAATGCAGTATTTATTCATGAAATGTAATAGTGAGACATAGATCACTTGCCTGGGAAAAATCCTGGGGAGAATTTGTGCAGAGACACAGTCATGACTTTGGAGGTGAAACTGAAGGCATCTTCCACACCTACCAGAGAAACATCAGAAACATCACTTCATATACCGAATTCCTACATTCAACACCTGAAAATCTAGAAAGCAGCTGTGGGAAGAAAAGGAGACGAGAAGACAACATTGATAAAGCTAACAAGCTGAGGAATTAAAGTAACACAAATCTCTGGTCTGTGATCTCTGTGATTAGAGGATGAGGTAGAACTTTGTCCCCACATGAATTTTGGGGTTTTCTTTTCAAATTCATGGAAAACTATAACAGGGCTTCCCCTTTCCAAGCACTGTTCCCCTTAGACAACACTGAAAGGTGGGGAACGGAAAGAACTCAGAACTGAGACATTATCAACAGACTGAATAGAGGAGATTGGTACCATCTAGGAAGTCTTATGTTCTGTTTTATTTAAGTAGTTCTAATTTATTCTTGAGATTTTTTTTTCCCAAAGAAGTACAATGTAACAGCCCTTTGAAAAATATGATGAACATGAGGCATTATATAGTGAAAATCCAATTATAGAGTGTCTATTCATAATTAATTTATAATTTGTTTAGAAATGAATGTCATTCAAAGTCCCCTGTGTAAGTAACTTTTTGCGTATCTTTCTGGCTAACACATGGAAAGCTGAAAAAAGCTGCGGCCCGGTATTATCTTTTTTTTTTTTTATTTCCTTTTTATTTTTTAAGAGAGATTTTTTGCTATGGAGCACATGTGCTCACTGGAAAAACAGAGACAGAAAGAGAGAAATCACCCTCTTGGGGGAGGACACACAGCAATCTCTTCTCCATTCTCCTCTCAGGATTTTCAGCATGCACATACATGCACCCAGTGTGTTTTAAGCTGCCGGGTTCGGGACTTGACCTGTGATTGGCCATGTGGGAATCCAGTGACATAACAATTATGCCCTGTGCTGGTCTCATGTAGCCCTGAATCTTAATAGCAGTTTTATATCTCTTTTGAACCCAAGAGAAAGATGGGGGATTTTTTTCTAGAAAGGGGTCTTCTTTCCATTTAAACATAGTCAAAAATGATTAGAGGCTTTGGAGAGAAAAGCTAAGATCTGAAGTAACCTTTACAAACCACTACTCATATAGAAAACTACACTGCCCACCTCTACCCCTTCCTCTCAGAATCACATATTATATTCAGACAATCAGTCTGTAAAATGGAAGGGCTATTTGTAAATCCAAGTAACTATCCTCTTTTTTGTTTCAAACAAAGAAAGTGTCTCTGTGTTTATTTAATGTTTTCAGTCTTCATTAGAGGCCAACAGAGGCCTTAAAAAAATATTAACTCTATTTGTATATAACAGGTATGTTTGAATTTCCCAAGCCTATGTTTTGCCTGAGGAAGGCAGTTAAAATCAGTTAAGGGCTCCAGGCAAAAAGCATGAAGTAAACAAAACAAATCAAATGAAAATAGCATTTCAACTTAAAAAATGAAGTAAATACAAGGATAGTTCATGAAAATCCAAATTATTTATTCCTACCAAAATGTACCTGTTTATATTGACCAGTTATGAGGGTTCTCATTTTCTCACTCCTTGACTAGCAATGGCTTTTATTATTCTTTTCAATCTTAGGCACAAAGAATGGTCTTACTCTAATTTGCATTTCTCCTACTACTGGGATTTTGAGACCATTTCATATGTTTAGTGGCCGTTTGTAATTCCCCCGGGAAATATCATTAGGTATGGTTATAAAATCATACTTAAAAGAGGATGTAGACATATAGGTGGAGGATACGAACTTGATATGAAAGAGGAGAGTGGGTAGGTAGATGAAAGAAGGTGAGGACATAGGAGTGGCTAGGGAAGCCACCACAGGATGCTAGTTATAAAATCATGAGAGATTTAAAATAAACCAAATGTGTAAGAGTTTGAGGGTGGGTCAGAGGTCACTGGAAGGAAGGTGCTGAAGAGGGGAAATAAACTGAAATGAAACACACCATAAAAGTTGGCTAAAACAGGAAACTCTAAATGGTGTAGAAATAACACTGCAAATGGAAAGAACAGTTTCAGGTGACAGTCTTATTTCATTTTTACATGGTTCAATAGAGTTGATTCGATTCTTGAACTCTCATACTAACAGTTTGAATTTATAATAATTCATTCATTCAACAAATACTTTACTAAACCACTACTATCTGGGTAGTATTTGTTGGTTCAAGGCATTGTACAAGACAGGAATTAACTTGATCTTGGCTCTGTAGGAACTCGAAAGTTTCTATGGGAAGAGAGACATAGACACACCAAAAAGTTAACTAATAAGACAAAACAACAGATAATTAAATATCAAATCAGCTATATAAACAATTTATGACTTGAGAGATACTGGACTGGAGTGGTCAGGGGAAACCTGCTACTGTTGGAAATTGAGCAAATGGGTAGAACTTGGAGATTCAAAAGGGGAGGAGGAAGTAAAACTAAGCTAGAAAAAAGAGGCAAAGCCAGGGAGACGGGAATAGTGAGGTATATCTTGGAATAGTGAAACATGGTCATTTAATAGGATAGCCTGGATAGCAAGGAATGAGAGAGGAGGCTGGAAAGCTGAGCCAAGACCTACACAATATTGGCCTTGAAAGACAAGTACAGAGTGTGGACTTATCTTGAAAATCACTATTTTTCTTTTTCTTTTTTTTTTTGAAAATCCCTTTTTTTTTTTTTTTTTTTTTTTTTTTTTTTCAATTTCAAAGTGTGGCCTGTAGAATAGCTGAGCAATGTTAAAATGCTGATTTCTTTGGTTCCACACCAGATCTACTAAATATGAATATCTGGTGGATGTGGCCCAGCAATCTGCCTTTTAAAACAAACTCCTCCAGGTTATTCCGATGCATTTTCAAGTTTTTTTTTCAAGATAGGTTTTTTCTATAAGGTGCGTGCACTTGCTAGAAAGACAGAGGGACCAGCAGTTAGCATAATGGCTATGTCGCTGAACTCCCATGTAGCCGACTGTAGTTCGAGTCCCGGACCCGGTGGCTTAAACTCACACCGGACGCGTGTGCATGCGTGCCCAAGATCCCGAGAGGAAAATGGAGGAGAAGGGATTGCGGCGTGGCCACCCCCCTCGGGGGAGGGTGATTTCTTGCTTTCTGTCTCTCTGTCTCTCTCTGCCTTTCTGGCGAGCGCATGCGCCCTATAGCAAAAACCTCTCCAAAATAAAAAAAAAGACAGAGACAGAGAGACAGAAAGCGAGAAATCACCCCTAAGGGGGGATGGCCACTCTGCAATCCTTTCTCCTCCATTCTCCTCTTGGGATTTTGGGCATGCACGCACATGCGCCCGGCGTGTTTTCAGCCACCATGTTCAGGACTCGAACTGTGGTAGACTACATGGGAATCCAGCAATGTAACCATTATGCCATCTGCTGATCGTTGATGCATATTCAAGTTTGAAAACCATTGTTTTAGGCTAGGGGTCCATGCAAAGTAATTGGCTAGACAGTTCATCTTTTAGGCTTTGCAAAGTACTTACGGTCTCTATCGCACGTGTGTGTGTGTGTGTATGCTTCAAAAAAGTTTATGGGAAATGCATATTATGAAAAAACTATACATGGATTTCAAATATTTTTGCACCAAAATAAAATAATCCTTTACCTCCTTTTTCTGCAAATTTTGAAGTATTTGTGTGTGTGTGTAATTTTTCTCTATAAAAATGGAAGAATCTGGGAACCAGCAGTTAGCGTAATGGCTATGTCGCTGGACTTCCACGTAGTCAACTGCGGTTCGCGTCCCGGACCCGGTTGCTTAGAACTCATGCCGGGCGCGTGTGCGTGCGTGCCCATGATCCTGAGAGGAGAATGGAGGAGAAGGGATGGCGGCGTGACCATCCCCCCTGGGGGGTGATTTCTCGCTTTCTGTCTCTATGTCTCTCTGTCTGTCTGGTGAGTGCACGTGCCCTATAACGAAAACCTCTCAAAAAATAAAAAATAATAAAAATAAATTAAAAAACGGAAGAATCATTCTTAGCTCACTGGTCATACAAAAATAAGCCAAGAGTCTAATGTTGCCCATTGTTAAAGGCAATAAAGAGCCTCTGAATGTTTTTGAGCAAGGCTATGTTTTGTAATGAATATTCTGCTATCTAGTGAACATGGTTCTTAAAGTATCAATAGTATGTCAGTTGTTTTTACCCTCCTGTGTTCTCTTTGTCACCTTTACTTTTGTGTCACTATTTCATGGTAGCATCCAAGCAGGTGCAGCTCCCTGGGGAGACTCTCCCATGATTTCTTCTTTTTTTTTTCTTTTTAATTGACAGAAGACATGTGTGCTTGCCAGAAAATGACAAAGAAACAGAGGGAGAGAAAAAGCACCTCTCTGTGGGGCATGCTCATGCCACAATCCCTTCTCCTCCATTTATTCATCATGTTGGAATTTGGGGTACACACCCATACGTGCCTGGTATGGGTCTGTAAAATGGAAGGGCTATTTGTAAATCCAAGTAACTATCCTCTTTTTTTAACTATCCTGGTTTTTCAAGCCACTGGGGCCAAGACTCAACCCATGGTTGGCCACGTGGGATCCGGCTCCTTTAACCACTAGGCTATGTGGCTGCTCCCAGAATTTCTTACTTCTTTTCCTGTTTTGGCAGCAGAGCTGACCCTAACCTTAGACAGACACTATTTTTCTTTTTCCTTATACCATGATTATGTTACTTTTTTTAAAACAAAATAATAATTTCTGGAAGCAGCAGTAGTCATTACTATAGAGGAAAGGGGAGAGATTCTTAACTAATAATTTACTACATAAGTGTTACTAGACGAATGGAGATACTAGATGTCACAGGTAGGATTTCTTAAAGAAACAGAATGACAACTGACACTAGAGCTCTATATTCTAGATGTAAAGTATAAGGGGAGTTCAAGAATTTTTGGAAATTGGAATTAAAGCACAAGTTTATTTGGGTACAAAATTTATTTTGAAATCCATGCATAGTTTTTTCATAACACATTTTCCATGAGCTTTCTGAAGACTTCCTTGAAGAGAGGAGGACTGGATAAATTTTTTCAGTAGTCTTCTAAGTGGATATTAACGGGTTAAGGCAAATTGTTAAGAAATTCTGCTACTGAAAACTAGGGAAAATGCCCTGAGCTAAATATTTTAGTAATATAAAGAAAGCAGCATAGATTCTGATCATTAGGAGGGTTGGTAGCCTATGGTGAACATGTTAGTACATCATATATCTATTCTATTTTGAGAGAAACATCCAATGAACAGACAAGACTGCCAGCTCTAAACATAAATTTCCCTTAGAACCAATGGAAAGGACCTGAGGTGGGATACTGAGCACTGGAGTAAACACTAGGTAAGAGTTCCACTTGTTACCACTCTTTACTATACAGTTCTGCTTTGAGAGGAGAGGGGAGAGAAATGACAAGAGCTTGGTTTGGGCAGTGAGGCAGGAATCATATTAGTTAGAGGAACTGCTATCCTATCTACTTTTGAATTCTCTTAATTAGGACAGTTTCAATCACAACAGGCATCTCTCCTTTTACCAGTTGCCTAGAAGCAGATTTAATGATAAAAACATGCTGTCTTACCAGGGAACATCTTTGAAACTGAAGGGCTTACCATCTCCATGGTGCAGATCCAAGTCCACATAGAGAATACGGTCAAATTTCCGTCGCAATCGTAATATTCCCAGGACAGCATCATTGAGATAACAAAAACCAGATGCTTCATCTCTGCAAGAAAACAAGTTGCTACAGCCAACAGCCAAAAAGCAATCCAAGGGAGTCTTTACAGCCAGGGGATTAACCCTTGAAATCTAGTCCCTTAAAAAAAAACTAAAAATCAACCTACTAAGATTATATAGTAAATGGTCCAGAATGATCAGGGAATTAAATGCTTTTCTTTCTTTTTTTTTTCTTTTTTTGGAGAGGTTGTTGCTATAGGGTGCGTGCACTCGCCAGACAGACAGAGAGGGACAGGGGGGT